AAAATGATCGACCTACCCCTTTTTCCTCCCATTCCACTCGGGATGCGGACCTTAGTGGCCTATATATTGTACCCTAATACCTCTTTTTTTTATATTTTCCTATAATGTCTAACGATTCCTCTTTGTTGGAACCCCCAGCTTTATTTTACATGTCATCGGGAGCGTGTCCTGGCTTTGTCAGGGAAAGGTCATCGGTTTGATTTGACGTTCGCTCAGCAAACAGCGTTGCATGCCGTCGAAACTTACTCTTTTCAAAATGGGGCTTTCCATTCTTGGCCCGGCGGCCTATCCTTTGCATGACTGGTTAATTCTCGTGTATATTACATGTGTGCACATATTGAATTTCTGTTTTTCTATGAAGGTGTTCATTTCACCGCTTGACCTTAGCTATGCGTATTGAGGATGATGGTTGTTCTGAGTATATGCCTAGCATTTCTCCGTGAGATGTTTGTTGCTGGCAATGCACCATTGATTCTAGCATGGGATTTGGAGATTGTGCACCTCACCCGAACGATCTATATGCGTAGGGAACCAGGGTAGGCTTTATAGTACAGAGCAGGTATAACTAGGGAGTGATATAAAGATTCTAGAAGGAGGTTCGTGAAGCAAGAATGTCGTGAGGTAGATAGATCCGTGCGTGCCCGGATCATGGGAAAATCAAGCCGCATATGAATTGATGTAGTACTAGGGGCGACATGAATAATTAGCGACGTGTAAGTGCCAGTAGCTGTCTGGTTTTCAGCATCCTTACCGTCAGACACGAGTCCTCTTCATTGAATGTCCCAGGAAGATAGACATAGAGAATCAAGGCCGTCTCGTGAACGAAAGCTGGCACACAGAACCATTAGCACAGCCTCTCTTGTGGTACTAATGGGAGAGGGAATCCGGGAAGCTATGTCCGACCATATAATCCCGAATAGAAGAGGAAAGGAAGGAAAAAAAGGGGAAAGGGGGAGGGGGTAAACGCACAAGCAACCACCCTTGGACTCAACCTCCCCACACTCAACACTTTCCCCCAGTCGCGCCCATCGATCCGCACGCGCGCCCACCCGGCCTCGTCATCCCCGGGCACCGCGCGCATCCGCTCACTCGGCAACCGCTCGATCTCGCCCTGGGACAGCTGGCCCGGGTCCAGCTGGGGGTTGACGAGGTCGGTCCACACGCTCGAGATGCGCAGGGCGTCCGTGGCGATCGCCAGCCGGAGGGCGCCGTGCATGTTGGCGGACAGCTCGAGTTTCGGGGCGGCGGCCGACGCGCCCGTCGCGGTGGGTTTCGTGGCGGCATCCGCCGCGGACGCAAACCCGTGGCCCGGGGAGGCGAGCTTGGTGAACCGCTCGGAGATGCTCTTCAGTTGGCCGAGGCTCGGGAGGATGATGTGCACGTCTGGGTCGCGGCAGCGGGGTTCGTGGAGGCCCTCGACGGCGGACTCGTGGAAGACCTTCACGGGGATCTCTTGCGTGATCACGGTTTCGCGTTCGCGGCCGGGGCGGGAGGGCCCGTTGGGGGTGTCTGTCGTGGTTGATGACGGCGGGGGCGCATGGGTCGGCCCGTTGGTGATAGTCGGAGGGTCATTGCTGCTGCTGCTGCTGCTACTACCGCTGCCCGGACCAGTTCCGGTTCCGGTTCCAGGTGCGGTGGTGATGACGCCCAGTGCGTTGGATCCGGGCGCCCAGGATAGCGTGCGGATGGTCAGTGCCAGGAGCGGGATGCGGCCCTTCTGGGTGAGGCGGAGTTGGGCGGATTTGGCGTCGACGGCGGAGCGGAGCGCCCGGTGCAGGGCGCCGATCGGCACTTCTAGGTTGATGATTCCGCCTGAGTTGGATTCGAGGATGTAGCTTGATTCGTCGAAGATGGCGTCCTGGAGAGGTCCTTGTCAGTTTGGTTGTGTTCTGGAGATGAGATGAGATGAGTTTGAAAATAGCAACGGCTCGATTTGGTGGTGGGTGGTTGTTGCTTGGTTGCTTGATTGCTTGGTTCGGGGCGTACAATTGGTAATTGTGCCCATACTTGGGTGCCTTGGTCGGGGATGATGGTGAAGCGGATGTTGCCTGGCTCGAGGCGCATCCAGCAGGTCTTGCCCAGCGATGAGAGGGAGGCGGTTAGCTCTGTGGAGTTGGTACGTGGTGTTAGTTATGTGGACTCGGCCATTGCGAACGGTGGGTGACCTGGTGGTTTGGTTGGTCTAGGCCTTCAGAGCTTCAAGGAAGGCTACCACCCGGAACGCCAAAACGCGGTAGATGGAGCAGCACGCGACAAGAGGCAAAAAACGTACTGGAGAAAGTCTCCGCATTGGTGAGTTTGGTTCGGAAACGCATGGTGGATTATTTATTGCATGTTTGGGAATAGCAGGTGGATTTATTGTGTAGGCACACCAACAATTGATGTTGATGTTGATATTGAGCGCAAGGTAGTGGATGAATGCGATGATGTTATGGTGGTTGGTTGAGCTCGGCCGGCCGGTGTGGGGGATCCGCCAGGAGCAAACAGCGCAAAACCAACGGACCATCTATTGTTAGCATCCATCCAGTATCTACGGAATAGTTACATTCTCATTCTCCCCACGCCTTCTGGAACTTGTCACAGACTTTCCTCAATCAACGTGTCGCTTTCTACTTGGTTATTGCTTAATAGAAATAGAATCAGAATCGATGGCTATTTCGCGACCGCCACTTACTTCGATCCTTCTAGACAGTTGTTCGGCTAGGACGTGGCGCCTTGCAAGTTCCTCAATGACACAACATGATACATAACCCACTCCTCATTGCGATCCCGGCAGATACCACCCACGTGGTTGGCGGCACAACAGCACAATGGTTCTGTTCATCAGATGGGACGAGAAGCTCCATGCCTTTTTCTAGGCCGGAGTCCTTGCTACTTCCCTTACAGACATTAGTTTCTCGACTTTGAGAGGTACTCAACATTACTGGTATACTCCAGGGATACTGTACTGGACGTATCCTTCCTGCACTCCTTCGCGAAGGAGAGAATATCTCGACTGAGTATCCCTTTCATCAAGGGTTCACGATCCCTGATCTGGGGGTCGAGAAAAGCGAGCCTACACCTTGTCGCGACGAATCCTTTTTACTGTCCTGCAGTCTGGGAGTTTCTAATATCATCCTACCCATTCATTATATTTTCAGAGCCAACTAGTGCCCTTCTGTGCGAAGATACTTCCATAGCAAGCGCAGCCTTGCTGATCGGAAGCCCAAAATTGCCTACTCAGGGTATTGATCATAACACTTCTCTGGTCGCAAACACGGTAGAGTTTGATGGACATGCAAGAGATGTCGAAGTAATCTCCAATGCAGTCCATTGATAACAGTCAAAGCACTCAAGAGACTTCCATAATCCCAATCAACTCTAATAGCAAAGGCAAAAGAGCTCGAACGGTCGCAGATATGAGATATGATATGCAAGGGGGCGTCGATCACCGATCTACTCTCCGAATGTTCTTCAACCCCAAGTGGTCCGAGAGAGCCGACAAGGGCAGCTTGTGGACAGCCGGAACACATCGCGGAAGGGACATTACCTCGCACAGCCACTTTTGATTGCACTTCATAAGTTACTACTTGTGCACAGGCTTCTATGTATTGGGAGGGCTCCGGAAAGGGGAATGAGACAGTCTTGTCCGCCAGGTTCCGAAGGTGGATTACTGCTACTGCTTACTGCATGGAGATGGGTCTCGTGTGCCAGAGACAGCAGTCATGTTGATTGTACAGGAAATTTACGGAGTGCCGGAGACTGTATGTCGTACAGGATGGTGTGCATCTGTTGTTGACAGATCCTATCCGACATAAGAAAAGGGGGGATGTTTTGTTTTAATAGAGGTCGGGAGTGGAGGAAAGGAGAAACAGTATGGAGAAGTAGATACTGTACTGTAGTACTGTAGTTAGTTAACTTAGACCCTAGCTAGACACACAAATATTTAAGAATGGAGCTGTTTTCTACGGCAAGTCTAGGGCTTTTCTAGACGAGATACGGAGAGTTATTTTTATTACATTAGTAATAATAGGGCAGATTTATGCCTGAGTAAATGGGAGTTGAGTGGGAGAGTGGCAGTGGCAGTGGCAGCATCGGAATTCACGAGAATAAATAGTTAGTTAAAGAAAGTACTCTATTTTGCCCCTATTAATCCTGACGCGGCTCCACTCCCAGCATTCCCGTGTGTGTGTCGCGCGGCCAGCTAAGACTAGCTCACTACGGAGTAACTCACTAACTCACTAACTCACTAATTCACTAATTGACGAGCTCCTCCTCTCTCTCCAACCGCGCGCGAGGCTCCGTTCTATCTTTCCCCCCCGTTCCACCCAGGCCAACACTCATTCTAACCAACTCACCACTGCATAACTCGCCCCCCTCCCTCCCCGATCTTCGAATCATCGTTGCCACTCCCAGTCATTCATTCTCTTGAGTCAAGAGCTGGTCTCCTGAGATCGATCATCGTCATCATCCCACTCTCGCTTTATCATTGTGCTTCCTGCAGCCGCCCAACTCTCCCTAACTTCCCTCTAAGCCTGTTTTTGGGCCCTGCAGTGTGATCTATCACCATTAACCACCATCACTATCACTAAGCATCATCCCATAGCTCTGCCTCTCTCCCTCTCGCGCCCCAGATCTCACTCTCCCCTCTTGCACCTCTTCATTAATTTCCGCCCGATCTTAACCTTTTCTCTGGCCCTCATACATTCTTTCCACCATTGGGTGCATTATCTAACAGCGTCGGCCTGATTCGGACTTTAATTCCTTCATTTCACCTCCGCATCCTCCCGTCTATTACGACATCTCGACTCATCTCGAACCTCGAACCAGAAACTCAACCTCCTTCCCCTCCTCTTCTATAGACTTTGGCGGGATCGCGTCAGCATGCTTGCTCTTCAGCTATATTCTCTCTCTTCGACCTTCGACATTGCGACCCGACCTCCATCACTTCAACCTCACTACTGATCTTTTGCGACAACTCCGATCTGGTCCTCTCCCGGCGACTGCCGCTCTCTTCCGACATGGCCAGTAGTCGCGTCGCTCCCCTTCCCTCGCCAATCTACCACCGCAACCCACCGCGATCTCGATCTCCGGACCGACCAATCCCCGATTATGAACACACCGATCCCCTCCTCGGGAGTCTGTCACCCGAGTCGACTCTCCAAGCGCTCGCCTCCACCAATGCCGTCCCCAAGAACGAACGAGCCGCCCATGATATCCTGTCCAGAAGTATCGCTCAGGTTTCCCCAGCGGAAAGAGCCCTCGCAGTTCGCGCAGCAGTTGTCGCTCAAAAGTTGAATCTGTGGTACAAGGAAATCCAGTCATGGAATTGGCCGAAACAGACCGGTGATGAGAAAGGATTGGGCTTCATCCCTCCGTCCGATGCGACTGACGAGGAATACTACGGTAGCCTGCCTGCCGCCATGGTAGAGGAACACGAGAAGCGCATTGAGGAAATCCGAGATGAAATGGACCTGCTAGATATGGACGAGCTCAAGGAGCACGTTCTCAATGCCCACATCCCGGCCCGGTCTCGGCCCTCTTCGGCTAACAGTAGCTTGTCCATCCCTCCTCAACTGTCTTACGTCCAATTGAGCGATTTCACTGCCGTCATCACCGCCACCATTCTCCGGGCCCTGCCTCTTTTATCGCGCCTAACGAGCTTGCTCTCGATTTGGGACGTTCGTCTGTTGGTTCTGCGACAGATTCCCGTCTTGCTTCGCAGCTTGCGCCTCGCCCGCTCTGAGTTGGAGGCTGCCTTGGACCTCTTGAAGTCTTCCGATCCTCCTAGCGAGAAGGACCCATTGTTTTCCCGGTCCAACTATCATGCAAAGCGCTCCCACTTGGAAGCCACGGTTGTGTCTGCTGGTCGAAGATTGGATTGTGTGCTTGACGCTTTGGACGAGTGCGAAGATTCTATTCCCGACAGCTGGATCGATGACCTCGAAGGTATCGAGGCGGAGTTTGGCTCTTGGACCATGCAAGCAGAACAACGCACCGTTGAAAACGAATGGCAGCGCATGACACTCCTTTCGAAGACCAGCGCCAATCTCGACATAGAAAAGGACGTGTCTGAACAATCGTCCACTGATTCTTCTCGCGGCGAGGACCAATCTCCAAACTCGTCTGCTCCTGTTTTACAGACATGTCACACTTTTCCAATGGAGACTATCGACGAAGAGGAACTCAATACTCCTGTCGAGGCCGCGCCTCCTTATCGAGCACCGACTAGCCAGGAAGATACGAGTGTGCAATCCGTTATCGAAGCGGCTCCCTCGAGCTTGGATCGCACGGCTTCACCTGCGCTTTCCAAAGCGATCAACATCCCTACTGAGCTTGTTTCTAGCAATGCGACTCCCAACGTCTCCCAAACTTCCATTGATTCAACACCTCGTCCTGTCACACTTGCCTCTTCTACGACAAGTGTCGAACAGGAGGAGGATGCTCATCCGTTTGGTACACAACTACCTTCCTCCCATGCCATGGTGAGCTCGGATGAGAAACCCCGCTTGCAACGCTCCGAGAGCCCTCTTGCCAACGAAATGCCTCATATTGAAGCAAACCGCGCGCAAGATACATCTACATGTCTCGACGTACAGCCGACCAATCCTGCTATGGAAGAGCAAAAGCCTCTAGCCTGCGAGGAGGTTCCTGTGGTCCAAGAAATCTATTCATACGCAAAGGAAACCGAGCGCGTCTCAGAGGAACCGGAGGATTTTCTACCAACCAGTGAACAAGACATGCCTCCGGCCGCAGAAGAGATTGGCCTTCCATGCCCTTCGCACAAATCTCCTAGTCTGACTCTTCCAGAAGATAGCCTGCAGCCACCGAGCAGCCCGCAGACAGACACCGGAAGCGTAATCATACGGCGACCAAAGAATCTATCCATGTCCCCCGGAGGGGTAGGCAGCCCCAGAATTGAAGAGGACTCTTCGCACACCACGAACTTGAAACCCTACGATCAACATTGTGAAAATCTACCGCATTCATCGAATCTGGATGAAAAATCCGCATTGGCCAAACAGACTGGCCAGAATGACTCCGAGGTCCCGACAACAAAGCCACCCAGTTGTACAAGCTCGATTCCCGCCTTCAGCTCTGATTCCCCCGGAACTTCAGCAAAGTCGGTAGTTGCAAGCAGCGACGAAGAGCTCCCAGCCCGGACTTCTTCTCTGATGTTGAAGGAAGCGACGGACGACCCGACTCCCAAAAAGCCTCTTGAAAGTCCGATCAAATTGTCCAACACTCGACCGGGTCCTTTGATCTTCGAGACAGAACACGCAGACTCTCGTCCCAGGCGCAGGTCGATTGCTTCTTCTCTCTCGGACTATCCTTCGCTTGTTTCAAGCCCCGAGAGGCGTGAACCACACGGATCCTCATCTAACGGAACTCCTTTACTTCTCGAAACACCCCCACCCTTCCAGACCGGCTACCAGTCATCTGATCCTGTAGCGCCTGGCAGCGACCATACGTTGCGAGAAGACCGCCTCTTCCGCCTTGACAGTCAGAAGGCTTCTCCGCATACGGATTTCGCTCACAACCGAAACCTCAGCCTTCCCTTGCAGCGCTTCATCAGTGAGAGGTTAGAGTTAACCTTTGGAAACGAGAGCGGCAGGGAACCTGAAAGCACTGCAACAACCGAAAGACCCACAGAAGTGTTTCCCAGCCTTCACTCTGGCCCGAGAAAATCCTCTTTACCGCCTCAAGCTGGTAAATCTTCGACCTCGACCAAAAACACACGACGTTCTGCCACTCAGTCACCCGAGATCACTCGTGAAGGGAACTTCAACCAGGGGACAGATGGCATCGCAAAGACGCTGCGTGAAGCTTGGGAGCATACTAAGAACGTTAGCTCAACAGCATCAGTCCAGAAGGTTCCGGCAGCGCCCTTGGAAAATTCGTCCACAATGCGTCTGAAGAGACAATTGACTTCACATCCTAGTCTCGAGAGCATTGGAGCATACCGATCGGGGGCTCGGTCCAACGATGAGCCTTCATCCATTCCAGCCTTCCTCAAGACTGCGTCGCGGACCTCAACCCCAACCCCGCAGATGAGAAAGCCCAAGGACCATTTGGACGAAAAGATTTCCTCTATCCTAACTGCCCTCGATGCGCAGATTCACCTAGTGTCCGCGGACACTCATGAGCACGATGGACATTCGGCATCATCTTACCCATTGAAACAAAGGGAGCGCTTTCGCTCTGTCTCTCCTCACGGCTCGCCAGCTCGTAGTAGCACACCTACTCCGTCGTTGACCATCACCCCCGCCGTTTCCCGCCGGCGCTATTCCCATGCGCACGCTCCAGAAGAGAGTTCCGTGAAGCTTTACCATCTGCACCGGGGTGGCAAGTCTGCCCCCACCAAGTTGTTCGTCCGGTCAGTGGGCGAGAACGGCGAGCGCGTCATGGTTCGCGTCGGTGGTGGGTGGGCAGATCTCGCAGAGTACCTGAGAGAATTCGCCGTCCATCACGGACGCCGACATGTTTCGGACACGCCTTTGGTAGAGGTGCAGGGGCTTTCCCGCACCTCGCCCCCGTCCCCACCTAGAAATAGATTGGCACCCATTGCCAGCGGACGGAGAACCCCGTCACGACCGCCCTCCGTCATCAGTAACCGGCCAGGGTCATCTTTGGCCGTTCGCAAAACCCGGCGGACCTCTAACGTGTCGGATATGACCGAGTTCCGCACATGCAACCCTGGCGACACGCTGAGCACGTCATATTCACCCATGTCAACCGTCTCCGCGCGCCGTCGACTGTCAACGTCGTCCAACGCCTCGATGGGCGCGTCCTCGGCAAGCGAGTTCCGACATGGGTCTTCGTATTCGCCCACGAACACCGCCGCGGGCAGTGCCAGCCACACGGTTCCTCTCGGCCTTGCAGGGCCGCGTCCCAGGCACGTCTCGATCAGCGCCGAGAGCGAGGCATGGGTGGAAGACGTACTCGGACAAGCTCGAAGGAGCTCGTCCCTGCGGCCGTACACCTACGGTTTCGCGCCGCAAGAGCCAGAGCCCGCTCCCGAAAAGGCGCCCCCTCCTCCCGTGATCTCAAAATCACGGAGTATCAGTGATCTGGGAACCGTCGGCTCCAGCCGACGCATCGCTCTGCGCGGACTTGGAAGACGTTAAACTTCGCAAATTCCACATTCCTTCATCTCATACCCTCGACATCCCACACCCGCCTTCCCACCTCTTTTTCCCTCTTGATTATCTGCTCTGTTCACTAGCACTGGCGTTGGCCGTTCATTACCCGGGTTTCTTGCATGTTGGATTCGGTTTGTCTCGTCATGAAAGAGACAGGTAAGGTGCATACAAAAAGTGGTTTTGTTCGCAGCGAGCATTTGGCCTCCGTTCATTCCCCGGATATCTTGATTTGCGTTTGCATTGGCTAGGCGAACAGGTCTCTTCCTTCGTTTCTTCATCCCCTTTTGGTGTCTGGTCTTCACAGCGCCCACTTTCAACCTGGTGCATCAGCGGGTGTCTACCTTTTACTTCGATTCATGTGATCTACTTGTACCTACTCACTTATTCTACTTCCCCCCTCGGGTAACGAGGATCAGTTTGATCTCAGGTGGGCGGGGTCCTGGTTGACCTGTCTGCCTGCCTATCTTTCAAATCTTACATTGTGCGAAATATGATGTCTCAGGACCGATGTTCGGATCTAATCAATAAGCATCAAGTGTTGAAACAATCGTCGATAATTCCCTTGTCTCGTAATCCGGTCGAAAGACACCATAGCCTAGCCTAGTTAGTGATCCTCTTCTAGTCATTGCCGGGATAGGACAAACTAAGGATCTGGGGAAAAGAAAATAACCACGAAGAATCCGGCTACCGCAATCCGATGTCAGCCGAGTGCTGCGCCACGAGGGCCATAAGACGGTCCGCAATAGCAATTGCGAATCCCTTGTCATTGAGATCTCGCTCATCAGATAACACCCTAACCTTCATGCTTTCCAGCCCGGATTGCAGAGTATCGGCGAGGGCGGCATCAGCTTCAGCATCTGCAAATACAGCCCCGGCTGTCCCAATGCTACTTGTTCCTCCTCGAGGAAGCCACACCTCAACCATTTCTGGGGTCTGGGCAAACCGGCCTATTTTGTCAAGAATGAAACGTCCCACCCTGCGGCACTCAGCTGCAGAGGTCCGCATCAAGGTCACATTTGGGTTATGAGCATGCAACTTGCGGTCGTGATATTGCCGTGGGACGGACTCCATCTGTCCAAAGTTCACTGTGTCCGTGGCCCCGATGGAGATGATGTTGGGGATTCCACGCTCTAGTGTTGCCTCCAGGCGGCTAGTATCGCAACTCATGCATCCGCCAGCCACCAAATCGCAGATTTCTGTTGTGGTGATGTCCAGGATGGCGTCTAAACGACCCTCGCCCACCAAGCGTTCCATAGCCTTCCCTCCATGGCCGGTAGCATGGAACACGTACACCTCGACGGGATAGTTGTTTTCTAGATGATGTCTCACATGATCCACACACGGCGTGGTCACCCCGAACATCGTGACTCCGACTCGGACGATCTTATTCTCTTCGGCCTGCGCGCTTGTTCGGCTCCGGGCCTCTCCCAGGCGGCACTCATACGACGACGCCATGCTGACAATTGCACCGGCCGCATTTCCCAGCACCTCGCGCAGTAGCCGGTTGGTGCCCGCGATGTCGACGACCGAATACATCAGGGTTATATCACATTCGCCCACCACGGGCCCTGTATCACCCGACGCGACTGTGCTGACGATGAGCTTGGGCAGGCCAATGGGCGTGGCCGACCTCATCACGGCTGAGATCAGACTGGTTCCTCCGCTGCCGCCCGCCCCGATAATCCCGTGGATTTCCCTCGTTTGCAGCAACTCGCCAACACACTTACTGACGCAGTCGATGAGAAGTTCGATTGCCTGGCCCCGCGACAGAGTCTGGATTGCGGGGCGGTGGCTCGCGGCATATTTTGATAGTAGATCGGTATGGCCGAAGGTGACGGCCTCATCCGTAGTGTCCTGTCGCCCACAGTCAATCAGGGTGATTTCTAGCGGTGTTGTTGAAGAGCGCGCCGCATTCTGCTGCAACTGTCGATAGAGAAAGAGAACCTCTGTGCGCTTGGTATCGAGCGTTCCCAGAAGGATGATATGCGGCATATTAGACGATTGGAAACGGGGTTTGGCAAAGGACATTGAATGGACTTTGCTCGGTATTTCCAGTTTAGTTCTGCAACGAGGTAGATAGTAGATAGGAAATAGTAGATAATAGATAATACTCGAGGTAGAGCTCTATGTCAGTCAGTGGCAACTCGTGGAAGAACCGCTTCATCCGCTCCGCTCCGTCTTCTCCGTCATCTCCGCTTCTCGGCCCATTCCACTCACCTCGTTACATTCTCTACACCCTCTGCCAATTTTTTTCTTTTGGCTAGTCCTCAGCAACTACGAGAACCCCCTCAAGTAGTTACCGCCCTATCTATGTCTGCTCGTACTCAACGCCGGCGTCTACCAATCTCCTGCGAGCCTTGTCGGGCTCGCAAAATCCGATGCTCCCGGAGTAACCCCCCTTGCGACACTTGCGTACGGCGGCGGATTCCACCGGAGCAATGCGTCTATACTACTACTACTAGCAGACAACCTCAGACATCTCAGACCTCTCAGACATCCTCGCAACAACGACATCCACCAGTTCGCCCCCCTCCCCCTCCACCTCCGCCTCCACCTCCACCTCCGCCACCAGGAAATGGCTCGGGCCACCACCCCAATAGCCCTGCTGTGCAAAGAGAATCCAATCCTGATCTCCTGGCTCGGCTGCAGAGACTGGAGCAGTTGCTGCAAGCACCCCCTGTACCTGATGGTTCTGGTCCGGGTCCAGATTCAGGAAATCGGCAGGGATCATCAGCAGCTGGTGCTCTCATCCCCTCATCCACATCGGGACACGTGCGCTTTTTCCCCAATACTTCCGGTTGGCGCATTGTCCAGCGAGCTTCTCAACCGGGTCCATTCCCGAGCCGGGAACATGCCATCCCTGACACGCCCAGCGGACCTTATCCTTTTGGCGAAAATGATACTGAAAGTCGAGCCAATATTTCAGCAAAGCTTCCTCCTACGGACTATTGCGACCGGCTCAAGGAGGTCTATTTCCAGTCGTTTATCCCGGTAGGTTCGTCCCGACATTCCGGGTGATCACTCTACATACATCACGATATGGCTGATGAAAAGGGATCCGTCTGACCCCAGCTCTTTCCTATTCTGCATGCCCCCACGTTTCATGATCGGTATCGGCAATTTTCCGAGAACCCAGACCAGGTCTCCCTAGCTTGGCTTGCTCTGCTATTCACCATTCTGGGCACCGCTGTTCTCGCGCTGGAACATGATGATCCTCTACTGAGGGCCCTCAGCCGCAAACCGACACCCTGGGACCGAGTCACCGAGCTCTCGGAGCGGTATTACACCGCAGCCATGAAATGTCTCGAGGCGGATCGCTATCTGTGGCGACACAACATATGGACACTGCAGGCTCTGCTAAATCTTATATATGGAATCCATCATAGCCACGGTCAAACTTGGACTCTTCTGGGTCTTGCCTATCACCTAGCACTCTCGATTGGATGCCACGTGGACCCGGCCGTATTCTCTTTGGATATTGTTGAAGTCGAGGAGCGTCGCCGCTGTTGGTTAGCTCTGACGACACTGCTCTATCATCAGAATATGGCGATTACGGGTTTGGATCTCTATTCGTCTGTGCTCTCGTCCCATGTCCTTCCCCCCGCCGAGGTGTGGGATGACGAAATCATCCAGGGAGGGCCAAGCCCAGCCGTGACTTCGGTCGGTATCAAACCCGTCTCCTACTTGATTCGAAAGGCACGTCTCTTTCAATTCTCCGCCAAGGTCTGCAACTCCACGTACGGGGCAACCTCCGATGACTCGACGGCGCTTCGCCGTCTGGATGCGATGATACGGGCCGAAATCGACCCCCTGGAGCAGAATTACGCCTCCAGGTCGGGAATCGACTCCTCGGTCGTCCGTGCGAATCTGCTACTCAGCTTCGCCCACCATCTGGTCCTCCTTCTCCACAGTACCATACTGAACGAGGTGTCGGGTTGTCCGCCGCAACAAAGCTGGTCGAAGCAATGCTGCCTGCAAAGCGCACAGCGCATCTTGGAACTCCACGCCGACTTCCACAAATCACCTCAATTCACGCCTTTTCACTGGTATATCCGGGGCCGGGGCGCTTTCCACGCTTTCCACGCCGCATTCATCCTGGTGCTGATCCTGTCCGTAGAGCCCCAGGCACCCTGTCCGTTGGAGGCTGTGCTGCTGTTGCATAATTGCCATGCTCTGCTGGAGGCGTCCAAAGCACAGAGCCAACTGTGTACTCGCACCGCACGAATCCTTGGCCAGATGCTGTAAGGCGGCCTGTCGAATGCGATCATGCTGGACCATACCAGATGCTGACAGGACGGCTTCTAGATCAAGCAAGCGGTTGGGTGCTCCAGGGCTGGCGTCCGGTGAACCAGAAAGTGACTCCCGCAACCTCGCCTCTCGGGGTGCCCAGTTAAATCCCCAGATCGACCTCGACCCGCCGATGGAGACCGGCGATGGCCGAGATCTGATATCGGAAAGCGTAGATTGTCCGGGTCTGTTGCGGCAGATTGAGCCGCAGCAATGGTTCAACCCCATGGACATGGATTGGGATCTGTGGGACTGGATTTTGGCTGCATCTGGAACGACACCCTGACGCCTACCAACCGCTTCTGCGAAACCCATCAGGATCCCTCGTTAGCACTCTGCGGTTCTCATACGGTATGTATTATCTTTCGGAAGCAAGGGAGAACTTCGGGAGATGGGATCATAATTAAATCTAGCTATATAAGGCTATTCAAGAAGGACTAGCTAAGACTACTAAGATCGAGAGTAAGCAGCAGTTAGCTTACGACTCCACAACTACACTAATACACTCCCCCCCCCCCCCCCCCCCCCCCTAGCTTACTATATATCTGATATATGAACCAAACTCTACAAAAAGATTACTATAGTAAGTATCAAAAGCTCTGGTAGCAAAAACTGAAACGGGTAGTAACTTACAGTACAAACCTTAGTTAAAACCGCAGTGAACAACTAATAGAAATATGATGACTCCAAAATTATTATTATAACATCCAGGATTACACTATAAAATCGTTGATAAATCTAGCTATCTAAGACTGTCCAAGAGGAACTAGCTAAGATTACCGAGGTGCGCGGTAAGCGGCAGCCTGGCCTGGGCGAGGCCGCAACCTCTTGTAGTTACGTAAGCACACGAGTCTGATCCGTTAACGGTACGTTAAACCGTTAACCATTTACCAGACATGTGCGAATATAGGGCAGCCAACCCAACGGGTTTCGACTCCGACTCCGACTCAAATGATCTTGCTTTCGATGACCAAACCCTGCCAAGGGGGGACTGTGCAGCCCATGGATAGCTGCTGGGAAATCAGGAGGTTAAACCGCCGGCGTTCTACAACCGACCGACACACGGCCGTCGGAAATTCGGATCTCGAATACGTTTCGGCCTCGAAGTGCAATGCATGAAGTCACTGCGTGTGGGTCTGGAGGGACAGTATACATCCGAGGAATTGCAAGGTTGAATAATGCGTCACCCGCCCCCCCCCCCACCACCAACCACCTTTGCTATCTCCGCGCGCCATGACTTATATCCGCCGTCCGCCGTCCGCTATCTCCGCACTCCGCTCCGCTCCGTCCCGCCCCGCCTTTTCCTGAGGGCGAAACGTATATTGAGGATGGATGAAATGAACCCCTGGAATTTGTCAAAAGCTGTGTAAGAACCATCCTAATTTGTTCGACACTGAACACACTTGATACCCCAGAACCCAGATAAATAGGGGGCGACCTCCCCGAGGTTTCCAATCGACCAAATAAATCATATTCGCTAAGCTAGTCATTCGCCTGCCTACCTACCTGCCTACCCTTGGAGACTCGCGGGGCCTGAGCCTGAATACATCTGATTTCAAGCTA